AGACCTGTAATGGTTAGGGTTAGGTAAAAAATACAAAAATATAGTTAGAAAAATGAATGTGAATGTAGCTGTGAGGTTCATTTTAGGGTTAAATGTCAGAGTTGAGTTAGAAAATTACCAGAAAATGAATAGAAGTCAATCCACGGTCCCTGTGGGGATATAAAAACAAGCCTGTGTGTGTGTGTGTGTGTGTGTGTTTGATTGTCTTCTAATAATGAATACAATAATAGTGTGGGCTTTAAAATAATACAAAAATGAAAACTGGAATGAAAAAAGTAACAAAACTGTATAATTTACTGTGATAAAACTTTCTATTGTTTGACCATTTTTAGGTTTTAGTTCAACACATATCGATTGTTTTCCTGCCTCCTGAGTGTGTGTCTGCGTGGTGAAGCAAGACGTCGAAGGCTGCAGGGCAAAAGGGCGTTTTGAGATCAGTGCAGCTGTCGCCTCTGGATCTCCTCCCCTGGTTGATAATGGATCGCTGATTGTTTGTATTGTGTGCGAATGTTTTTGTGTGCAGTGGAAGTCACACGATGAAGAGACGTAAAAACAAGATGTGAGGTGACCAGAAGAGCTCACAGTGATTTAATCAAATGTACGATAAGCAGAAGACCTGCTGATGAACTTTTAAGTACGACTGATCCTGTAGGCTGGWGAAAAATACAGAGGAGAGTATTTGAACTGTGTACGTGACAATGTACTGTTTGTTCCTTTTTGTAAGCATTAAACACTTCTAATTAAAATTGTCTGATTCCTGATTTATTTCAAAATAACACCAACATTTACAAGCCTTTTGTTTCACAAATATTCTTTCATTTATTTTCCTTTTGTCATCATTTAAAAGTTTTTTTAGTTTGAAGGTCCAGCTGCTTTAATTTTTAGTTTCTTTCACAGAGTTTGAATTGACTTTGTTCCTCAATGTAGCTCAATATATCTCATGAGCAGCAAGTATTTTATGTTCCATCAACATTTTTTATTAAGTTACATATTCCCTGTGTTATTGTGACAGTGCTGAAGCCTGAAACAAAGTGATGATGTTGTTGTCTGTCTGCAGAGCCGGCTCTTGGCATAGGCGAACTAGGTGGTCGCCTAGAGCGCCATCTGCTGGAGGGGGCACCGAACTGCAGAAGAAAAAAAAAGTTATTATGTGTAATCCCTTGTAACTCTGCTCAGCGCCCCTTTCAGTTAGCTTTGTCTTAAAAAACAATAATGAAGTATTACAGTAAAAATAAACTCCTACTACTAATCCTGCTGACATCATTCTGACACAGTGAGGACTGAGTTTGTCAGCTGAGGACCTTATGAGGTAAAATCAGACTTATATTTTCCAAAAAGAGAGGACCTTTGAAATGTTTGCACAAATTGTG